ATCCGAGCTTCGTCGAGAGCTTGTCATACGACGCTTAAAATTTGATACCGCTGATGACGGCGAAATTTGAAGTCCAGAGAATCGCGTGCGCATGTCCCCTCATGTTCAACAACAGTAAACACTGGTGACGCACGCGCAATGAGCTCGCTGACACGGAAAAGTCCACAAAGAGCGCAACGTTAGAAGGCATGTACGTATATCTACCTCGAAGCAGACAGCTGCATATCGGCGGAACGTTGACGGCGTGCGAGTTTTTCGACGCCGTCAACGTTCAACATGGTGGTAAGTGTGATGCATCCGATGCCCTTGGAGCCTCCTTGCGGCGGCTGCTTTTTTCGACTGTGTCAAATGATTATCGCCTCTTGCAATGCATTATATTTGGAAATGCAGTTTACCAATTTTTATAAACCACATTTCGTACAAATTATTGGCTAAAAATGAAAAACATTTACAACACCCTGAAACACCGAATTAGAGCGCAGCTCTTGAGGAGGGGGAGGGAAGAATACTAGGGGAGGGTAACCCCTCCTCCCACCTCCTCATCCTCCCTGCTACTCCTCCTCCTTCCTTTTCCTCCTTCACCTACTCCTTTTCCTCTCATCTCTCAAGCTCCTCCTCTCCTCTTTTCCTCCTCCTGCGCGTTGCATCATGGGAAATGTCCCATAATGCACCGCGCGGTTACGCCGACGCCGACGGCGACGCCGCTCAAGCCGGAAACGGGCGCCTAAGAGCTGCGCTTTTGAAACCAAGCAACATACCTGTAATATTTTTATGTTCTGAGATGGTCATCTTTCAGATGGTTGGTTTTCAAGTCTAGGGTACATATAGCGGTAGAGCAGTCAACACAATTGAATTGCTTGAATGCGCTAGTCCTGTATGGTTCCCCTTCACAAAAAACAACATCCAAAAATAAGAAAATATACAAACACTTGCTGTCAAAGCGATAAATTTAGAACGCATGACTCACCCACAGAACTCAGTTGCAGGCTGTGTATCCAACCACGAACAGAGCTAAGCTATCATGGTTAAAACTAATGTACCGAATAGTAACCAACATGACAAAGATAGAGAAAGCTGAATACCTTATTCTAAACGACAGGTGAACAACTTGTTCAAGTCATGGGAAATTCTTCAAAGAATTTCAGCCTCAAAATATTTTATTCAATCTTTCGTCCTTTCCAATTGTTGTTAACGAGTGGAACAGTTTGCCTGAATTTGTTGTCCATGCTAGCTGGCTCTCCCTATTTGTCAGCGATGTTGAAATGCTTTTAATGTGACAACGCCATTGTTTGTTTGTTTAATTTGTATCTTGTTGCGGTTGCGCATCTGTGCTTGTAAACACCCTACAAAAGTCCTCAAATGAGAATTAGTACAGGGTGTGTCAAATAGCGGCCAGGCTCCTTAACTCGACCGCAAAAATCGGTTTCTTAACATATCGCGCTACGATTTTGTGCAGCGTTGCCCATTGGTGGTGCATTTTCCCTATAAAATTTTCAAAGAGCGAATTAACCTGAGAAAGAAGTAAAAAAAAAAAAGTACGATTAAAAGAGCCGTTTAAAAAAATGTACCATGTTTACAGGGAGTAAAATAACTGGAGGAAAAAAAAAAGAAACAAAATGAGAAGGAGCATAATTATCCTTGAGAATATACGCGAGGCTTGGATTGACGTCATATTAGCAGCTGCCGTTATTGCCTTCCTGTTGAGCGCATACCCTCTGTAGCCCTTTCATTTCGGACCAGCAAATGGGTTCTGGACTAGAGCAACACCCCTACCACGGTGCGATCAATACAGATGCGAGTATTTTTCTAATTTCCTTCCTTTTCCTTTCTTTATTTTGTTTGTTTTATTTTTCATAAAAAATAATGATTTTTTATGAAAAATCATTATTTTTCATAAAATAATGAGTTTATGAAAAATAAAGTTGTTAGTGCAATTAATGCAAAGGCGCAGCGAGCTGGACAAGGGTAGCGATAATAATCCCAGGTGGGGGACAAAGGACGAGCACGAATCTTCAAACAGAGCTAGGCGACTGGTGCGCGACTGAAAAAATCCGCCTGGTCCTGGTATCGAACCAGGGACTTTTCCATTTACAGTGGAGCGCTGTACCAACCCGTTTGCTCTACTGACGTCTAACTCTTGGTTAGCTCTGTCTGTAGAGCGCCCCACTGGAAATAGATCGAGAGGCCCCTGGTTTGATACCGAGACGAGGCGAATATTTTCAGTCGCCTACAGTCACCTAGCTGTGTTTGGAGATTTGTGTTTGTCCTTCGTCCCCGTTGTACTCCTTCTCCAGGGATTATTATCGTTATTAATGTCCAGCTCGCAGGCCCCTTTGCATTTAATTGCATTATCAATCATAACCTTCAAAATGCAAGCCGTTCACTCTTGTTGGTGTTAGGCTGGTGGCAGCTGTTAAAACACGTTTGCTCTACTGACGTCTAAATCCTGGTTAGCTCAGTTTGTAAGAGCGCTCCACTGGAAATGAAGAGGTCCCTGGTTCGATACCAGGACCAGGCGGATTTTTTCGGTCGCGCTCCAGTCATCTACCTGTGTTTTCTAGAAATTTGTGTTTGTCCTTTTCCCCCTTGTTCTCCTTCTTCGGGGGTTATTGTCGTTATACGAGATTTATACGGCTGGCCTAGCGAGAGATTAATAGGGGATTGTAGTAGACCGTTTTTCTCCTCCGCTACGGTATCCGTGAAGAAAACGCCGCAACTGCGCATGCGCGCCGCCAGCCTTGTCTGCATAGTTCAAGGTCTTGTGGCGGATCACGGAGCGCTATCCGGGTGCTTAGCGGGCTGCGGAAACGGTCTACTACAATTCCCCAATGTCATAACGATCGAACGAACAGGCCACGTACTACTCAATTATATTCAATTCAAATTAACAAATGAATGGTTTTTGGATGGCAGCTGTCAACTAAGCGACGTAATTAACGCAAACGCGACATCCGCAAAAAAAAAAAAAGAAGAAAAACGAAGCAAAGCAGATGAGACGTTTTATGCTTAGTGCAGCGAGTGGTCGGTATACGCCATTGTACGATGGCACTGGTTCGCCCTGTTGATGGGAAATTTAGCTAGTGCAAGCAGGTCTTTAACGTCTCGCAGTAACCGCAGTACATTATAGCGTCCAAGAGCGAAGTTTTGTGAGCACAGTACAAATGTTCCTTCCCCGAAAATACTTCAGCTGTATAAAGGTAGCTGCAGAAAAACATGCATGGGATCGCACGTTGCCAACTGTGTCGCGCTTGGTGGCTCGTTTTATGACAGCTGAGTTTCGAAGCAGGCTCGTTAAAGGGATGGTGAACCGAAATTTGGATTTAAAAAAAAGAAAAAACATTGCAGGAGATGTAGGCGGGACGCTACAATCCCTACAACACTACTCGCAAGGTGATATCTCGAATGGACGGCCGTATTTTTGGAAAAAGAGGTCGAGATTGAACCATGCCGACAATGTGCGTGACGTCAAGATACCGTGTTTCCTCCTCTCTTCGCTTCGCTCCCTCAAGGCCGCGAGGCGGAGAAGACGCGAGGCCGTTCCCTCTCCTTCTCGGAGAAACATGACGTCAACATTCCTGCCAAATGCGCCTCCTTTTTTTTGAAAAATACGGTCATCCGTTCGAGATACCGCTGTATGACTGATGTTTTGGTGTTTGTATCATCCCGTTGCACGCTTTTGCCGCGTGTGTTGGGAAATTCAAATTTCGGTTCAGCATCCCTTTAAATGCTCGTTAAATGCTCGTTAAATGCTCGTTTAGCGGGAGGTGCCCTGTCAGTGGACTGGGCGTCTAAGTGTCAGTGTCAGTGGACTGGGCGTCAACACACCGAGGGGTCCTCTTTGAGGACCCCTCGGTGTGTTGTGTAGGTAAAGCCCGGTGCCATTTTGACTGACCTGTGCACCCTTTCGCAGGCAAGCACGGTCGAGCACTGCCACAGCCCGGATGACGGGGAAGTGGACACACTCGCCCGCAAGAAGCTCATCTTCGCCAGCGTGCTGTGCCTGGTGTTTATGCTCATCGAGATTGTCGGTGGGTGCACCCTTCCCCTTGACATAGTCTTTACTACAGCCCGCTTTTAACAGCTTGTGCTCGTCCGGTTCTCTTGTCGTCTTTCCAGGAGGCCTGCTGGCTAACAGCTTGGCGATAGCGACGGACGCGGCCCACCTGCTGACCGACTTTGCGAGCTTCATGATCAGCCTCTTCTCGCTCTGGCTGGCCCATAGGCCGCCCACGCTTCGCATGAGCTTCGGCTGGTACAGGGCAGGTACGAGATCTTGCTAAGATAAAGCCTTGGACAGCTTGATGATTCATCGTGGACACTAGACAGCTACAGCGCGACAAAGACCAGTGGCCCAAAGTTCGACACTCTGCGAGAAAGTCGGCGAGATCGCCGTCATTTGCCATGGCGCGACGCCGCGATTGGCCAGCGCCAAGGACAAGCACGGCACTGGCCAATTGCGGCGATCTTCGATCTCGCCGAGTATCTATATTGTCACGGGTGCCTGCTTGGCCAGCTGCGCGCGCGGCAATATTGTCCTGCAATTCTTAAGGTGCGCAACAGACTCAGCTCAGCGCTGTCATGCGCAGCTGCTTAGAAATGAATGACGCATGGCGTTTATGCGTGACCCATCGCGGAGGCACCGTCTACTCAATTCAATATAGATTGCAAGGCCCCCAAAACGACATCACCAGTGGATCCACGGAGCTCCGCCTAGCTTGTGTCAGCATCGCGACCAGCGCGGCTACAACAAGACGGACGGCTTTCCTGCGTCTCTCGTCGAGGCTTGGTTGCCGCTTGGGGCAGGTCGGGAGTCTACTTACGATGACGTCGTGCGCAGGCCTTGTCTTCTATGTGGCATGGTCCTAGCTTTCTTGATCCTCTTGTGCGCTGTCTTAATTACGCTGGTGCCATGACTCGTCACTTTTTTGCGCCCGTGCAGAGGTGATCGGCGCGGTGACGTCGGTTCTGCTCATCTGGGTAGTGACCGGCGTGGTGGTCTACATGGCCGTCCAGAGGATCCTGGTGGAGGAGTACGAGATCAACGCCACCATCATGCTCGTCACGGCGGGCGTCGGCATCATCGTCAACATCATGTGAGTCGCCAATTGCTTGCATCCGCTGGCTTGCTCGCCGCTAGGGATACGTAAGCGTCACCTTTAAGGTTCTCGCGAACGCTGTCATCTACAACCATCTGTATTCGAACAATACACATCATAGAGACTTCGTCAGGCGTCACGTGTTTAGTCTCTACCTCCTCGGAAAACAAATAAATAAATGAAATAATCACGATAAGACGACATAATTATCTACATTTCTGTACATGTATTGCTATACTTTTTTATTCGGTATTTATATATATATATATATATATATATATATATATATATATATAAATATATATATATATATATATATATATATATATATATATATACAAGCCGAATATAATTAAAAAAAAAATAATAATAATAATAATAATTTATAACTTTTCTTTTGTACAGAATTCGGGTCCGTCAAAGCCTAGGAGACTTTTGTGACGTGGACCGGCCGTTGCAAAAGCTACTATAATCGAACGCTGTTCCTCGCGTTAAACAGAAAAAAAGAAAAAAAAAAAGAACCGCATGTTTCTTTTTTAATCGAGTACGAAGCAGACAACTCTTCCGTTTGCAAAATGTAAGGGGAAAACAACTGAAAGACAACAAATTCAATGATTGCGGGGTGCATTCACTAAATACACCACAGAAGCTTCAACTACTATTCGTATAGGAAATGAGCCAGAGCGAACATAACAATTTTCACAATAGAAACGAACGCTTTCAGATACAGATACATCAACTTGCTTGCTATAATATAAATAAACAAAATGACAGGCCAGCTTTCTGCAATATAACGAAACAAAAGCAAATGGGCAGCACCTCCATATTGACTGATTATAAAGCGGTATAGTGACCCTGCTCATTTCAAAAGCGGTGCTCGTTTGTGCTTGTTTTCTTATTCGACATCATTAAAAAAAACGTGCGGGAAAGGGGGGGGGGGGGGGGGGGGGGTTCATGGGGGACAACTTGGTTGAAGTACCAAAAACGCGTGAGCGTTAAAAAGCAAGGATTGTCACGTAGTCGGATGTCGTCGAAACCAACATTTGTACGAAAGTGGCGTTTCAATCGCGCGATATCGCGCGAGAAAAAAATACTGAGTTTGAAACGCCGTCTGACCGACTTTTTTCCCTGTCTTCAACTTTTGGTTGCCTGTAGATTTTCTTACCCAGACTCAGGAGGTGTTCTAACAAAATGAGAAAAGTACGCCAGACCTCCGATCGGGCATTTCAGCTGGCCGCGTCCCACGGCTTATATTCGCGCCTATTTCAGTCGGTGATGTGATCTAACGTAACCATCAAAAATAAACAGAACCCAAATGAAAAATTCTTTCTTAAAAGGAAAACGAAACATCTAAGCAGAGTTTTCATGCGAAGATCCGGAAAGCGCGGCGCGAGTGCAGCTTGCCGCCGGCCGCACTCGCTCTGCGCTTTCGTGGCCGTTCTCGATGCTTCTGCGTACCGATTACTACTTAACATATCCGGAGAAGTAACTTGAGACGTTCAGAAGTGCGTAAGTCACCCAGAAGCAGAGGAAGGTGGCCCGGATTGATCGGGTTTCGACACCCGCACACGCTTCCATAGCCCTCATGGGGCTGCGTCGGCTGCTCTACGAACCGGAGGTGAATAATACCCAGAGTGCTTTGAGGCTGCTGCCATACGCCGGTCAACTTGGCCAACAGTTATTTACTTTAAAAAGAAGCAAATATTAGCACTTCATTCTATATATAAAAAAAAGAATGTTGTAAGAAGATAACGACGCTAATAATAAAAAAAAAATTGCAACGAATTGCTTTAGAAATTTTTGTTTTACTCGAGCCTCAGTATCTGAAAAGGCTTCTATAAGGAGTATTCACTGGGCGCCATATTTGTAGGTGCTGTCCAGAGCGCACGCTCAGAAGGAGCCCACATTAATAGGCTGCTAAGACCGGCAGTCCTGATGGTGTGGAAAGCGCGTTGCAAAAGTACCGGGGAAGCTCGCCATAAGCACGCGCTCAGCAGTCGCGCACACAACTATGGCCGCCTGTGAATACTTCCTATAGTCGGTCACAAGTCAAGAAGTTAGGAGAAGCTCCTCCTTCCCACAAACGTGATGCGTCCGTTTCAAATCCCTCCGCAGTCGAAAAAAGAGTTCACTGGAAACGCCCCTTGTTCCGCTTCAATGAATAGATATTGGCTACAGAGTGATGCCAACTTGTCTCCGATCCCACTTTTTAAGAAAACGACCTTTGTATTCATCGGAGGGGGAACCGAGCCCTTGAAAGCAGCCTCTGTATCCATCGAAGGGGAACCTAATCCCCGAAAGTCGTATTTGTTTTCATCGGAGGGGGAAAACTCAGATATTACTCTCGTGGCTTCCACAATGCTAAGTCAAAGTCGAAAGATAAGGCAAATGTGTATGTACAGGAAAGCAAGACCCTCCTAGCGCGTTGGCCGCGACATCACGGAAACGATGGGACGCTATTGGACGCGGAGGGGCATTTGTCGCTACCTTCTTGACCTGTAACTTACTATAGTAGCGTTGCGTTAGCTATCGTAACGCTGTAATCCGTAGCGGGATGCGAACGTTCTACTAAAACTTGAAATGGTGGTTCCGCTATGCCATTTATACAGGAGGTCGTAGCGGATTTCGGATAGCGCAGTGGGAGTGACTGAACGATCTACTAAAACACTTGTGATACACGACCGCACGCTGGTACGATAATAATTATAATAATGGTGATAATAATAATAATAATACCTTTACTTTTCCAACAAAACAATGTTGTAAAGGTGACACGGGAAAAAAGCTGTAAAAACAGCTTGACGAGGGCCAAGCCACCTAACCCAGCAGTCGCAATGCAGGCGCCAAAGAAATTATACAAGATTAAAACATGACATGAGCACTACATATTTGAGAAACATTACAGGAAAAAAAAGAACTAACGCTATACAAGATAAGTTGCATTTTCATACAATTTACACAATAATGAAAACATACACACAAAGTATAGAGCCTCACTGAAATAAACGCGAAAGAAAACATCAACTAAGATTTTAGCTCTTATTGCGGACAATTTGACTCGAAATAATCATTTGAAATACACATTTCCCCAAAGATGCTCACCGATATATATTGCCTACGAAGCTGGTTAAAGGTAGCCGGCAAAGTATATTTTAAACTTTGGTAACCGTAATTTGTTCTAAAAAGTACTTCCGTAGGTTTTTTAATTCGTGTTGGGTGTCTGTAAATTTTATTTGCCCCTTCGCTAAGTTTTTAAGGTGATATTGGGATCATTTTGTTTCTATTTCATACCTTGGACATAAACGATATTTATATAAATCAAAATTTTCGTCACACCAACTTGACTAAAAAGATCGAAACGGGCAGGGAATTGGGGATTGAACTCAGGATCTCTGGGTTCTGCAGCGCGAGCTTTCGCTCCACGTGGTTCGGCTGGACTTTAATGAAAAGCTTCCTCTCTCGCTTTCTCAGCATGGGAGCTGCGCTCCAGATAGGCGGCGTTCCGCACGGCCATTCGCACGGCTCTTCGCACGGTTCGGACCACGGGTCGCCCTCCAAGGACTCGGACGAGGAGCGGGAAACGGACGGTTTTCAGTCCCCGGTGAGCTCCGTTGCAGCCAAGGGCACGGGCAACATCAACGTCCGCGCCGCACTGATCCACGTCATCGGAGACTTCCTCCAGAGCCTGGGCGTCTTTGTGGCCGCCCTCATCATCTACTTCAAGGTGCGTCGTGCGCGCAGCCCTCTTTGTTTGCTCGGCTGTCGAAGGCGTTCTGAGCATGCTCAGTAGTTCTCTTCTACCCACGTACAGCGAATTATTGCCGATATCGAACTCACAAAAAATTTTAATAAAAATGCGTGTAAAGAGTACTTTGTATAACAAACAACCTATTGGCTATATCGAACTTTTTTCCCCCGGGAAAGCTTCCAACAACGTGCAAATATTCGTCTCCTACCTAGCCTGTTTCTTTCACCAAAAAAAAAAGTAGGAAAAAAAAATTCCAAAGGCTCAAGTTGCGAAGAAAATTGAGCGAAGAGAAGCGAATCAGAAGGGAGAGAAAGCAAAAAAATACTCTGCACGCACGCACAGCAAAAAAAAAAAAAAAAAAACTTTTTATCTTGAAATTGTTGCCCAGGAAAAGAAGCGATTCAGAAGAAGAGGTAAGCTAAAGACACAAACTCTGCACATATGCAAAAAGAAAAAAAAAAAAAAAGAAAAAGAAAATCTTTTTGGCGCGTTGTGACAAGGCGGAAGCGAAGAGATGAGAATGAAAAAGAAGTTCCCGCCTTGCAACGGATGCGTCGTGGAGGTTCATTATACATAGTTTTTGCTATATCGAATTACTTGCTATATCGAACTGATCGTGGCGTTTCCTGCTGTTCGTTATAAACGGGTTTGACTGTATACCAGACGCCGGCATGCGTCATGCGTCTCCTAAGAATAGACGTGCGGTGGTCTGAAATAGACAAATGCACACTAAGTAATGACAAAGCAGGCATTTTCTCTTTAGCTTTGTTGACCGAAAATTTTCCGATTCAAAACCCAACTGCGATTATCCTCTTCAAGATGTTAATCGCGATTGAAGCGCTAATGGATTATTCGCAAGATTACGCGATTAGATTAAGCGTTTAACAACCGCAATGTCCGTGCTGGGTCGTTTTATCTCAAACATCCCAAACGTTTCGCTCGACCATTTGCGATTTTTAAAAGAAAATTTATGTTTGTACTTTAAGGTATTTAACCTTTTCCTAAAATATTTTCGCCAGAAAATTTTTCTTTAATGGCGTGAGCGTGGTTTGAACTTCTAGAATGGGTGTAAAACTAGGCACCAATTCATAATTGAGTAAATATATGATTTTCTTCCAAACACTTCACATTTTGTTTAGTGAAATTCAAACTGCTTTTATCATGGAATGTTGTGATGACAATGCAAATTTTATCGTTAAAATACTTTTAACTATAAATGAAGAGTTCTGAAAGTCTAATCAAAATGATTTTTGTTTAAATCTAGAAGAATAATAAAAAAATAGTGAAGTTGAGCTCCTCTACTCCGCACAGCACACCTCTGTCGACATTGTAGCCGGACGAAACGCGCGATTGTTTGTTTTCTCCGCAGGTGGACGCAGAAAGGTTGCGTTGTCATATTCATGAAAAAAAAAAGGCTTGCTTCTGCTTCCTCGGCTTTCTAATCTCTGCAATTGTAACCGTCGTCTGCAGAGGAGTCCTCTTGTGATCTAGCACGGCTTGTCATATCTGCTGCTTCATAGGGGCAGCATATCCATCCAGGTCAGTTGTTACACACCGCAATTTGTCCCTCTTGTCAATGTCTAGATACACGTGAGCAGCAGCTTGAAAGCCCTGTGAGTAGGCGATATGAAAACGACCTTATGGTGTTGAACAGATCTCAGCAGCACCATGTTCTTGGTCATGCGGCAGTCGAAGGCTCACGCCCCGTTGGTTTTTTCTGCTGATGTGATTTTCATTGGTAAAGTTTCTCAATTAGGAGAACAAGCCTAAACTCTAATTTAAATCTGCAGAATCCTGTGCCTCTGAATAGGATGTAAATTCAGCGCGTAACCTTGAAGGTGGTGCCGTCTTTAAGTGAAGGAAACCCCACGTCCCTTTGACGGGGACCGTTGAGCCGAACCGTGTAGTTAGTCGGGTTTGTTTTTCTTCAACCATTTTTTTTTTAACCCAGATAATTGTGACACCACCAATGCTATTTTTAGCCCAGATGAATAGCTGATAAGGTGTCATAATTTGATTCTGAAAGAGTCTTTGAAGACTGACCCTTGCTGACTGACGTTTCACTGCCTTACTCCGTCACAAGCATACACTCTTCCCGTGGGATGTAGCAAACAAATCCCACTCAGCAGAAGTGCCGTAATCGTTGCAACTGAACGGAGTCAATGAAACATTAGGATGAGTAAACACCAGACAACTATATTCTAGTTTGGAAAATTAAGTAATAAGAATGTTCTATTTACACTCATCAGCATCCGCAAGAACCGCTGAATTGCCTGTGCCGATTGACCCGCTTCATCCATCGTTATAGCAGCGTACTCTGACGAAAAATAAACTTCTTTCTTGGGCAGATTCCCGATCGCACTATAGTCAGTGGTAACGTCACTCGAAAAAAATACTCCTCGTTGTTCTGCCCTTTCTTGCAGTCGGTCCCTTCCTTTCGAATCCGTTTCCCCTTACGATCCACCGCACCGGACGCTAGGCGGCACAGTAGCCAATCCAATGCCGTGTTAGTGTCACGTGACCTTCGAGAGGGTCGCAGCGACGCGCGGATGATGTGATACGAGCACAACGCTGGATGGGCTGCGATTGGTCGTAGCATCCACCGTAGTCCGTGGTAAGTTGAAACGGAGCTACCGCTCTATCGTCACCACGTTTCCCTGTCAGGAGATGCCGACACCGATTAGGCATCACGTTTCCAAGGGGGGGGGGGGGGGGGGGGGCTGACATTGGGTACAGATGGCGCAACGAGCCTGCTATGCAGTGGCGGTACGTACAGTTAACCCACGATAGATAACCGCCGTTGTTTGCATTGTAGCCGAAAAGGACAAATGGAAGCGGCCGTGGCGGACCGCGGCGCATCTTCAGCTGTAGACAGTGACTGCGTATACGCAAGGCAATCGCGAGTCAAGAATGCGCATGCGCAGAACACTGTGTGGGAGAATCACAGTCCCGACCAGAAATTTCATTGCGTGCCCGAAAATCTTCTTAGCTCTCGTGTCAGGTGGCGTGTTGTGCGGTGAAGAGGTGCTAATTGAAACAATACCAGGTTGTGACGCGGGAGCTCAAATTCAATATTTGTTTTCTCGATTTAGTCAAATAATGATTTTGATTGAACTTTCAGAAATGAGAGAATAAACTCTTATTTCAAAGCCGGTGTGTTTTGCATATTTATAGTTGGACCACCTCAGGGTAGAATAGACGGTTGTTTAGGCAGTAAAACTGACTTCTCTTCACAACTTTAGAATTATTTTTGTCTGTGAAGCATTTTTTGTACAGGCGCAAAGCGATAATAAAATTTAAAAAAAAGTAAAGTGGTAAGTTTTGTGCATTTTGTTGAATTAAAAAAAGTTTTACAACAAAAATTTCTTAATCGTCACAACAGAGCAAGAATCCGTTCGATTTTCATAAAACAAATTGTGAAGCGTTTCGAAGAAAATCTTATTTTTACTGAATTATTGATTGATGCCTAGTTTTACGCCCATAAGTTCTAACCACGCTCACGCCATAAAAAAAAATGAAAGCCGTTTACAACTTCCTGTAACGCCGTATTAGAGAGCAGCTCTTGAGGAGGAGGAGGGAAGGGTACTGAGGGGAAGGTACCCAAACAGCACAGAGTTGGTCAGACATCGGCCAATGGCTGGCAATGGTCCTTGGCCAAGTGGCCAGACAGTGGCCAGAGACTGGCCGGTGACTGGCCTTTGTCTGGCCATTGGCCAATGGCCACTGGCCATCAGCCATCGGCCAAGCATTGGCCAATGAATGGCCACTCTCTGGCCACTGGCCAAAAGACCATCGCCAGACATTGGCCATTGCTCGGCCAAAATCCGTGCTGCTTGGGTATTCCCCTCCTCCTCCTCATGCTGCGCCTTTTTCCGAGCGGCGTCGCCGTCGGCGTAACCGTGAGGTCACGTGACCCTCGTGACGTCGCGTGACCTCACGGGCGTCAGGTGACTTCACGGGGGTCACGTGATCTCGTGGGGTCACGCGACATCACGGGGGTCACGTGACTCCCCTGACCCCCCGAGGAGTGTCACGTGACTCCCCTGACCCCCCGAGGAGTGTCACGTGACCCCCCTGACACCCCCCTCCCCTTTTCCCCCGAGGGGGGTCACGTGACCCCGCGACCATGCCGAAACGTCGCCGCGGTTACGCCGACGGCGACGCCGCTCAAGCCGGAAACGGGCGCCTTAGACGTGCGCTTTAAAATGGGCGAAAATGTTTTAGAAAAAAGGTTAGACTTTGAGGTAAAAAGGCATGAATTTTCTTTGAAAAATCGGAAATGGTCGAGCGCAACGTCTGGGATGTTTGAGAGTCCACAACCCTGCTTCTTTCTCCCGGGGGAAAGCACCTCCATCACGGAGATGTCAGTTTCGGCAAAGGAAAAGTCGGGTTATAAAGGATGAGGTTGTAGTAGATCAGGTTTGGCCTTGATCTCGTTGGGACCTTCGGACGAGGATCTTCCGACTCGAAAGCCCACTGTGTTCTGCTTTCCTGCAGCCCGAGTACCGGATTGCGGATCCGCTCTGCACCTTCCTGTTCTCGGTACTGGTTCTGCTGTCCACGGTGGCCATCCTGCGCGAGGCCCTCACGGTACTGATGGAGGGCAAGCCGAACAGCATCGACTTTCGCCAGGTCCAGGAACTGCTTGCCCGGCAGCCCGGCGTGTACCAGGTCCACAACCTGCGCATCTGGGCCCTGTCTATGGACAAGATCGCCCTCTCCGCCCACATCGTCATCCGTAAGACCTGATTTCCGGCACTGATTTGTTTCTGAGTCTGGCCTCTTGCGGTGACCTTACGGTCCTTGAGGCGTGACCTCTCGCCGATGTTAATTGTTTCAACTTGTCTCTCTCACCTTCGCTTCTTTCTTCGTGCTGTTCAGGGCCCAATGAAGACGCGATGCACACCCTCAAGGCCTGCTCCCGGCTCATTCGCTCCAACTACGACATCTTCGAGCTCACGCTGCAGGTGGAGGAGTACCACGCGGTCATGGACGACTGCGTCAAGTGTAACGGCCGCCAGAAGTGATTCAACGACCCGCAAGTTAACCCGCGACAACCAAGGCCCCGGAAAGGGTGCTGGCCCGAAAGGCGCGCGATGTGCTTCACAGAGGAGTCGCGAGCTACGTCGTTCACAAGATGCAACCGCGGACATCCACACGCGTTTCGCGGCCTTTCCATGGACGTTTTACGACAATTTCCTGGATGTTTTATAGAGGCGTTTGATACGCGTTCCATGGTAATTTTACGGACGTTTTGTCTTCCGTAACGCGTTATTGTGCACACAGCCCACCTTCCCCAATGAACCTCCCCAGGTTCATTTGCGATGCTCTCTGCCGGAGACGGTATGAGGAAATGGAGCTGTACCATGCGTCATTGGCTGTGTGGCATAACGAAGTTGCAATTTATGTAATCGTTTTCCAGCGGAGAGAACAAATGAAGCTGGCTTTCAACCGTCCCAGTTTTTTTTAGAAGAACTGTCGATAAAGCAGCTAATGATTGACACGATCAGTGTCGCTGGAACGGATGACTTCATCGTCTCAAATGCTTCTAAGTCTCACTACATCTATGAAGGGAAAAAATGTTATTTGTTTATTAGAGTAGACAAGTCGCTGCAGATGCCCGTTGAAAAGCACTCCTTGTGGAGTGTCAGAGCAAGTTCGGACGTGTTACAAATTCCTTGTAAATAATTACTGCGATAGTTTCCCTCATCTTAGCAAGTATAGCAATCAAACGACTGCACGTTAAAATGTGGCCATACACGGATGAGCGACGTTTCACTAGTGACCTCGAGTACTGCTAGCGCCGTGTTCGGTTGGCAGACAGCGGTCGTGGCGGGACTATGGAATGAACGTCGTCGAAGCTACTTGCCGCCATTTTGGTGCGGCAGCTGAGGTCACGTGGCCCGGAAATTTCGTGTAGTTCTTGACGTTGTACTCACGCAATTTAAGAGCGTTTTTAGTGCCCTCTTTTTAGCACAATTGAAATAAATCTGTATTTTTTTATTGCGGCATCTTTTACCACGTTGGATCAATCTGCCTCTTCGGGGCGAAACTGATCGCGTGGAAAAAAATGGTCCCGGTATAAAAATGGGCTACGTACAAATATGGGCTAGGTACAAAGATGATCCCTGTATTAACATTGTGCCGGTATAAATTGCTTGCACAAACGTCAATTGGTTAGACACAATGAGAGAGAGGCGCTTGAAAGCGCAGCTCCGCTTCTTGCCACCAGAAAGACGGGCGGACAATGGGGGGTAGCTCCTGCTGCGGTAAAGGGACGCTCCAGCGATTTTTTTATGGTATGCCTCAAAATCTACGCAACACCCCGACTGACACGGATGTACACTCTAAAAAACAAAAGGTGTCCCTTTACACCCTTTTGTCCCATATAATGCACCCATAAACTTCAGTTTGACCGTACAGCGCCCTATAGTCCAACAGACGACACCAAATTTTACGAGGGGCTTGATAACGGTGCCATATAACTTATTAAACAGCTAAAGGGCGTATCAAAGACCACAGAAAGAAAACACTTAGGTTCTGCAGTAGGGCCAAAAAAAAAAACGATTATTTTTTTTGTAGTTAGTAACATGTACATTAGCTATTTTAATAATTTGTACCACACGGTTATCAAGCCTCTTATGAAAGTTAGTAACGTCAGATCGACGTCAATGCGCTGCACGTCGAACTGAAGTTTTGGAGTGTCTTATATGAGACAAAGGGTGTAAGAATACACCCTCTTTTTTCTGAGAGTGAATTTGAGCGACTTCGTGATGTGGCACTGAGTTTATGAGATGATACTAAGTGACTCCATAAAATCAGTGAGATTTTTTTTATAGACCGCTGTTATCAGCCGCTGCCGCAATGCATCGAGGGAACCTTAGTCTTTCTGCGCGTGCGACAACCTCGCTGGAGCTCTGCGCGCGCAGAGCACGATATAGCACGAACTGTCTCGTGCACTGCCGCCTGCCTCCTGCAAACTTAAGTTGTGACGACTTCACGCATGCGCCGAACGACTGGTGAGATAAGTTTATTGGTGTTTATACCATAATATGCCGAGTGATGCCCTACCCTCCACAGAAAACCCTCCCCTATTTGTGGCTTGATTTGCCATTTTCGTTTTTAACACCGAAAGATTGCCCACTCCTAGTAATCGGATTAATGATGGCCTCGGCGTAAATCGCGGAATATAAGCGAACATTTCTGACTGGGATGTACAGTCATCTTTGCTTCATTGCCCCTCTACGCGATAACAATTTTGGCAGGGATACATTACCTAAAAATAGCATTTCTTTTTTTCAACTTTCTTGGTTGAACACCGAAAGTTATTCCACTCTTAATTTTCACCCGATATACTTTTGATTTTAGGTGGGCTATCTCTCGGGATATTATGGTAGATCTACTTTGAGAGATTCCTCTTTAATAACAGATGTGGAAATTCTGAGTAATGAAGGCGCATAATCTTTAGCAGACGATTGCAGTGCTTTCAATCCCAGCGCCCCTTGTGTAATTTTTACAGCCCTGCTCGAGCGTCTTCGTTGCTTTTGAATGAAAGCGAAGAACTACACGTATGGGCCACTCAAAGTGGCACTGGTCAGACCTCCTTTATCGGGTGATGTGCAGTGCACGTCTCAGAAACGTTATAGAAGCTAATCGTAACCTCGCGCTGAGCAGGAACGCGGGCTAAACTATGGCTGCCGATCACTGAATACCGAAACTCCGAAGCTCCGTGCCCACATTCATCCATATCCGTGCCACCATTTTGGAGCCTTGCATAGTAACTGAACGATAACTGTGCGCATAGCGCGCCGTTGGCGTTGTTGACACGTCTTTCAGGTAAGTGTGTGGCGCTAGATCAGCTAGATCATTTAAGACATTATTTACATTGCAGTCTAGCTGAATTCGTGTAATCATTACTCCATGGTTCACTTACAAAAAAAAAAAGTTAAGTTATATTGCATTGGTCGAATAGCTCGTTTTGAGATCATTGAGTCACTTCTTACTGTTTAAATATTCAGACCAAGGTGTAAGATAGACAGGTGGAGAAACGGCCCATAGAAGCCTACCGCAGCGCCGTGACAAGATTGTGTACTCGTCTGCTTGCGGGTACCCCCGATTTGCGACAGATGGCGCTGTGGCGAGAGGAAAAAAATTGGAATCGGATTTGCATGGAACTTTATGGAAAAGTGTGCAAAATAAACCGAGAGCACGACAGTCCTCCATCGAAAATCCACGAGAAATCATCTCCGTCAGTTTAGTTGGTCGCCACCGGTCGCCTACCCGGAGTGAGAGTTCGCGGTGCTCCAAGTAGATGGCGCCACAAAAAAAAAAAAAAGAAAACCGAGGGGGACACAATCCGGTCGCTCATTTGGCTCTCGTTTCCCCACCTGTCTGTCTGATTCAGACAGACCAATAATCCACTCGACGAGAATGGTTTGTGCCGTTTTTCTGTTGCAGTGGCGAACCATATGCGGAGTGCAAGTTCGTCTGCTTTTTTTGCGCAAAGGTTGTGGTGATGTCAAAACGCCGAGCTCTGATCGGCTCGGATTGAAAGATAGACCTCAAAGCAAGCTGATTTAAGGTCTACTTACTATCCTTCGATCAGAACCAATCAGAGCTTGACGTTCTGACATAACCATAACCTCTGTGCAAAAGAAGCAAATGAACTTGTGCTCCGCATTAGACCGTCGTATAAACGCAGCAGCATTTCATCAATTTATTTACAACCGCGTACAAGATGTTCAGGACTGGCCATACATAGTCGCAGGCTCTTGTGATGTCCAGCAATGATTTTTCCATGACGATTCTCAAGACAGTTGGCAGTCGACGTAACAAAGAAAGAAGAGACGCTCGATGCGTTCCGAAGTGCTCGCATCAAGTTCCCGTCACCAAATACGATTTTTCCAAGTTCCCTGCCTCGGAACCTGCTCAACTTTCCTTTGGGGGGTCAGTGAACACCTTCTGCGCGTCTCGAGTTTCAAACCCGGTCCCTCTGCTCGGTATTAGGTATTATCTGAGGGGTGCACCGCCTTCCGCTTCAGCCGGAGTTGTCGCCGTGCTAATCCCAGCTCGTGCGCGCCACGGCGTCTGCCGACGCTGGCGCGTGTCCAGCGTTCTATCTGATCTCTGCGTCCCACCTCCCCATGGACACTGCCGACGATTGAGTCGGCTGGTCCCCGCTACTCCAATGCCACGCCTGCTCTCACCCCGGACCATAACGTGAAGCTCACAAACAACACCAACATCTATGAGCCCTACCACCATCGGCCAAGCCGCGGCCCGCCTTACCAAGCAGGAATGTCGCGACACCTTCATCAAACTGCGATCGCGTCAAGACCTCCTGGCAGTGGACGCATATCGCGACTCTGTGGCCACCAAACTCCTTGCTCCTCAGCAACCCCCTCTCCAAGGTAAACTGCACTCCACTAACACGTACGAAACCAACAACCCGAATAACGCTCAGGAAGTTATCTACAGAGTATCCCTGGACCTTACTGACGACACAATCCACTCCGAGCTCTACATCCTCTCCCGTAGTATTCCCCGATTCCGCCGCCTATACAGCCTCGCTCCTTGTCAACATCAAACGACCTACTCTCCCTCGACATGCCATTCTCCGTTTCACGGTCTTCGGGCTATACACCCTAACAGCCAGCAATGGCTTCAGCTTCGAACGTCGAATCCTTGTATATTCAAACAGCCTAGTTCGCGTGCTGTGTCGCATGTGTCTTCTGTTTTCCTCCGAACCAAAATCTCTCCGGCACCCGTCACGACTGAGAGTTCCGGTGCCTCAAGTGCAACGGGGAACAAGCAGTAACAGACCCCTCTTGCCCTGCACGTCTCGAAGCAACATATTCCCTCCACATCGCGTGATCTGCCCACGCATTTGACCAATATCATCGGTCAGGCCTCCCCTCAACCCGAGAAGCGAACGGCTCAAACTGCCCCCCCCCCCTTCCCCACCTCTACCACTCCGGCCACCCCCCCTCACAGACACACACAGACACACATACACTGAAATCACACAACCTATCATTTCACAGACCGACACACAACAAATTGTACGCATGGCCTTGGACTAAAATTATTACGGTACGCTTGGCCCTCCAAGGCATGACGACGTCAAGACCACGCTGGATCGGCCGGACCTCCCGAGATGCCGCTCTTCGACGGCTGATTTTGAAGCGCTCGCCAATATCCAGGCATTTATAACGAAAAATATAGCCATCCGCTTAAAATATGACTATGCGATTACCAATTACAGGTTTATCTGATCCCATTTGACTTATCTCTATAGATGTTTTCTGTATATTTTAAGTTTCGATTTAGTATCCCTTTAAAGGGACACTACAACGAAATTTCGGCGCTTATTTCTTGGTCTATGTGTGTTCAAAGGAGCAGTGTCACATCGAACACACCAATATCTTGTTAACAAAGTCACGAAAAGTAATTTTAAAACGAATTAAACGTTTAGCAAAGAGTACCTGGTGGATGTCGCTAACGCCTCATTTGTAATACCCTTCTAGGAACCTTGAGAGGTAGTGACGGTAACTGTTTCGCCTCCGGCCACGACGAGAAAAGAGGGGAAGGAGGAACTCCCCTCTTCCTGAGAATCCCTTTTCTGTGACCCAGAAGTCGCTATCGTCCCTCTACAAGATTATAGAAGATTAACCCGTCGCTCAAAATTAGTACAAAAGCAGCCGCTTCGGTGGCTGGAACGACTAGGCCATCCTATGTCAGCCTCGCCGTAGCTTTGCTCGTCCCGAGACGAACTACGTCACAATTGCGTTGGATGTCACGTGCTCTCCGCTGGCTGTTTTCCGAGCGCTTGCCAGAGTGGGCCGTTTATAACGAAAAATACAGCCACCAGGGTCAAAATATAAATGTGCGATTGTCATTTACGGTTATTTTGGATCATATTCAACATATTTTTGAACACGACGGGTATTTCAAATTTCCTTGAAGTATCCCTTTAAAGGGACCATGAAATGACTTTTTTACTTTTTCCAGATAACTTT